ATATAATGAAAAGAACAAAAAAATCTGCTGCTTAAATTATCACAGCAATAAGTAGTTCAGTCTCCTGAACTCTATTTTACTCTCATTAAATTAGGTCTAAATCAAAATGTCTTGCTCAAGAGCTGAAGAAAGAAAATGTTCTAGTAAATTTTTTTCCTGTCTTTAGCACACTCAAAAATCTATAGACACAAATTACCAGTAAGTAGTACAATGAGAGCAAATGGAACAAAAAAACTTTGTAAAATAAAGAAACGAGATCCAATTGTAGGTCTTTTCTGTATGCTTATTGAGAGGTACAGTTTCTCTGAATGACAGTGACCGTGAAAGTGTTGAACCTCTTGAAAATGAAAGAAAATACAGTCTTAAAAAACAACACCTTGTAAAACAACAAACAGTGACAAATCAGTTTTGGACAGATCCTAAAAATATGGCTTTCTGTGAAAGATAATCAAAGTCTAGTGTGAGCACACTTGGACAGAACATGCTGAAAAAGAATTTAAGTAGAATACATATCTATTATGTAAGGACTTTAATGAGTCTTACTTTAAGCCGTGTTGATCTGGCTTGGGCACAATGCACCACCAGACTACATCAGCAGGTACCGAAGTGGAGCAAGTTAATCCTGGAAAGGAACCCTTTATATTAACTGTTTTGAATTTTGCAGAAACTTACTTTGTGGACTGCTTAAGTGCTAAACAATCTTTTTCCTTTGGAAAGAGATGATTGCAACTAGGATACAGGTTTACACCATTTTAGTGACAATGTTTACAGGTAAATATTTTATTTTTGTGAAATTATATGTGCACTTAGACTGTATTGAACGTGTAGTATCTATCCAGACTGCTTGTACTTGGTTGATACTTATATGACATCAAGGAACTGGAAAGGCAGAAGGCTGTAAACAGATTTCTAACCAAAATTGTGTGTCAAAAGTGTAATTTGGATAATACTTTTATAATTGTTTAATCAAAATGAAAATTAGTGGCATTCAGTGGAATTATGCTTGAATAACTGCTTTTGTCATCTTGCTTCTGCAGGAAACCTTTGCTGCTAAATCTGAAATGTTTAATTAAGAGGTGAACAGTTAGATAAGAGCTAGGCTGTAGTAATAATGTGTAAGTGAAAAAAAGGAGATAGATATGAGTGCTGTTATCAAACTGAGACAAAGGAGCTGTTTTATCTCTGTTTTGAATAAAACTTCACCAGAGGAAAAAAATCATTATCTATCGAAACATGATTAAAATATTCACATTATCTGAAATTTTAGGTGTTACATATATGTGTAATATATTTAGAAGAGAAAATGCTGAATGATCTTACTATACTTCTTACTTTAAGAACACAAGTATGTTTAGCTGACCTAATGCACATAACCACCAAGAAGAAAGTAGTAGTTCCCCTTGTACTTGCTTTTGGTATGTCTTATATCTTTTGAGAATACTTTTTTTAACATGCTAAACTTGCCCTCCAACTTCAGCTATTTGAACTGCTTATACAGTTCTATAGATATTGACTAATCCTTTTATCTAGAGGACTTTTATCTTGAGTGACAGTGGTCTTTGCTTGTATAGGGATTGGTAGATAACAAGCAATATCAACACCGCTTGTAAGAACAGCTGATTTATTTATTCTTGATATGAAAAAAATGGTTTGTTATTTGTCTTTTGGTGCGACCTATATTTATGTTTGTGCTAATCTTATTACGAAATAGTAGGCATATAGATGTAAGTGTATACATGTGTGTACATATATACACACAACCCTGCAAAATAATTATTTTGAAGCATATTATTAACATCATTACTTAAAAAATAAGCATTATATTCAGACACTGAAATGCTTATGAAATTACATGTATTTACATGGCTTTATCATAGTCACTCTGCATTTAGTAACTGGTATTATTAATTTTCTGTAGGCAAGGAATACACTAACAGTAATACGTGTACCTCCTCATAAAACTAATTTTATTTGTTTTTAGACGTTGATGCTTTTGTTATCAAATATGTTCTCCTAATTTAAAGGTAGAAACATGTATGATTTCCAAAGCAGTTTAGCATTCTCATTAAATGATTTCATTAGATTTTACGTCTAATTTGATGAAGTAGAGAGCAACACAGACACTAAACACTATTGTAAAGTTGGGTTCAGTTTATGCATCTGTTTCATCCTTTCCAGAGACAAGTCACTGTTGCAAGGTGTGACTCAGACCACAAGCTACAACGCAAAGGTGATGCCTTGCAGGTGCTGTGGGATAATAAACTAATATGTGCAGAGTCATCACGCATTACTGAAAATGCAGCAACTAAGTATCTAGCAATTCACTAGCACAGAATCACAGAATGGTTTGGGTTGGAAGAGACCTTAAAGATCATCTTTTCCCAACTCCTCTGCCATGGGCAGGGACATCTTCCACTAGACCAGGTTGCTCAAAGCCCCACTATGCTGCTTTTTTCTGTGAAAGGTTTTATAGGGGCTCCCAGTCTGTAAATCCTTAAGCACTCTCTGACAACTCTGAAGCCCTGTGACAAGGCTAAATACATCCCTGATCCTACTGCTTCAGGGCTGCACTAATTTTTATTACAAGACCTGTGGACACATTGTACTCGACGTCAAAGCAGGGGATGAGCAATATCGGATAGAAGATGTACTAAAACATGGACCAAAACAGGAAACAGCTCACGGTAACTTCAGTTTTCATATACTTAAATAGCAAAAGCACGACAAGTTACTAACACACAAATTGCCACAAACTGGGCAAAGCAGGCATCATTCTGGCCCCCAGTCAGGAATGGTTTGGGAAGTGCACTTCACTTTGAGAAAGTCAATCCCAATGAGTCATATTTCTGCCAGATGCCATTACACATTAAGGTACGGGTAGACATCTCACGTTAGAATAAATATGAGCCTGGCTGGGAAACAGAGAGAAACTGCTGCTGTAAAACCAGACTGCCAGACCAGGGAGATAGCACTAGCTGTGTCTGAAAATCCAAAGCTTGAAGTGGAAACTATGTGCTATAATTGAAGACTGATGAGCGAGGAGGATCACTGCAGAGAGAGTCTTTTCTATACGTGCTATGACCACTTCACTGGCTAATCTTTCAAACAAATCTCAACAAATTCTCAGTTCCCTTCTGGCTCTCCTGTAACCTACTGCTCGCCGAGATGGGTCTAGTATACAACTGTGACTGAATAGAGTGGACAGGCAAGGAATTAGCCAGAGTAGCTACGTTTATCTACTGCTATTTGAAGCAATTCATTGTGGCTGAATGCTGCTCTGTAATTTTCCATGAAAAATCGCTGTGTTTTGCTGTAAAAATAAATCTCAATGTGAGTTTGTACGTAAAGCTATGAATGCTGCCTGGTACCTAGCTGCAACTCTGTGAGTGTCAGCATACCCTATTAACTAATTCACAGGCACCAGTTTTGCTGTGGGGACAGAAATAATTATGTCTGTTAACTACTTTGTGCTGATGATACTAGTTTGAAAACTAGCTGAAAAGTATTTCTTATTTTTCTCTAGAATAACTGTGAAAGGAAGTGGAAATCTTAGGAGCTGCACTTAGCATGAGTTTTCAAAAAGGCATTTGGATATTTTGACTGCTTCCAAGGGAGATAAGAAACATCCATTGCATACATATTGCTCACTTGATTGCTCAAGGGAGAAGTTACTATAATTACCACTTAATAGATGAACAACAGTGCAAGAGGGATAAACAGATTAGTTTTACAAGAGGAACAGATTTGGTGAAGTCTGATCGAGTAGACATGCCTAGGTCACATCTGTCAAAATACAATGAAGTTGAGATGGGGAACTCTCTTTTTACCCAATATACCAGAAGCCAAGTATTATATGGAAGAGGAAATCTGAGTCTGTATTGCCCATCTTCTACAGAAGTGCTTTCATTGGCAAGCTCTGAGACATTTGAGAAAATATTTGTTTCATCTTTTCTTGCTTTGTATTTTGTACATAGGAGAGGTAAAGAAATTTCCACTGTAGATACATGGTACAAGGAATATTCTGCTAAGACATACAAGTTCAAACCCCTCCAACACCTTCTCTCAGATTCTCATGTCCCAGGGGCACTCTCCTCACAGTATAAGACCATGGCTGATGGACCAGGAGTCACTGCTACCTTGTTTTCGGAAGACCTGAGATGCATTGTTCATCTGTGAATAACTGCAGTAGGCACTTAGCCTTGAAATGCAGCAACTGCCCACTCGTTGTGGACGGGGTGCACCTCACTGCATCTCACCCAGACCGCCAACAGGGTGTAGGTTTAAGCTCCTGTTTGGATTTCTTATTGTCACACTGGGCAGCTCCCTGCTCACTCTGTGAATTTCATTCTTCAGGTAGCCAGCTCACTATACATACATTTTACAGGGATGTTCACCTACTTGCCAGTCAGTCTGTCCCACTATATCATATAGTACTTACAAGTCCTGTGGCTCTCACTTGAAGATTGTTGCTCCAAAATGTTCAATATGGGACCAGGCATACTAGTCTGTGATTCTATTGTTTGAATGAATGTGAAAGAAAGACCAGCAGACTATACTTCAGCTCATCAACATACTGTATCATGAATATGAATTAAGCAACAATTCTTGGCTTTTTATATGGATAAATAATGCAGTTACTCTCAAAGCATTCTAAATTTCTGCCACGGAATAGCTGGGAAACAATTACTTGGTCGTATCTTTCAGAGGTGATTTTTATCTCAATTTCATCACGCTATCCATATCAAAACTGTCAATTTGTTTGATTCTTTTCTCCAGAAAGTGATTATTGCTAAGGTGCTTATACAATACCTTGCACAAGAAAACCATGGCATGTGAACAGTATTTTTATATTTAACATATTTTAGACTTGTGAGTCAATCATCGATTTATGAAGACATTCCGTTCTAATTAAAGATAATTTAATAAAACGCATTATTAAAAATGTCTTTTTGAGCTCCAGTTATCCAGTCCAGAATGTCTAATGCTTGTCTATTCTCCAGGTACTCACTGTGATGAAGATATCAATGAATGTTACATGAACCCTTGCCAAAATGGTGGAATCTGTGAGAATTTTCCTGGGAATTACACTTGCCATTGCCTACCTGCAGACAAAGAAGGGATTTATTACGGTGGCTGGAACTGTACAGAAGTTCTCCATGGCTGTACTGATCAGCAATGCCAAAACAATGGAATATGTATCCCACATTTAAAAAATGGCCAACACGGATTCAGCTGCATATGTTCAGCTGGCTATACTGGAACACACTGTGAAACCATAACGACGTTTTCATTTCAAGGAAACAGTTTCCTTTTGTTGAAGAATCCCCTGACCCCTAAAAAGGAATTTTTCTATAATATAAACCTGAGGTTTCAAACTGTGCAACCTACAGCTCTTCTGTTTTACCGAGGGGAGAAAAATACATTTGCGAAGCTGGAGTTACTGAATGGCTACTTACATTTATCTGTGCAAGTGGATAACCAGCTACAAGCTCTTTTGCACGTTTCACATAATGTCAGTGACGGAGAATGGCATTCAGTGGAGGTAACCTTGGCAAGGGCTGTTACTCTTAATTTGCTTGACAGCTCTTGTGTAGAATCATGTCTCAGTAAAACATCTGCTGTGATAGAGAACGATCACGTGATGCTTGCATTTCAGAGCACGTTTTTGGGCGGCTTACCAGTGGGGAACATTAGCAGCAACTCTCTACTTAACATCTATAATATACATTCTGCACCTTCATTTGTAGGCTGTCTTCAGGACATTGAGATAGACTTGAATATTATTACTCCAGAGAATGTATCACCTGAATCATCTTTAAATATCAGGACAGGATGTACTAGAAAGGACTGGTGTGAAACCCACCCTTGTCGGAACAGGGGACGCTGTACCAACCTGTGGCTGAGCTACCACTGCGATTGCTACCGGCCGTACACCGGCCCAAGCTGCGCAACAGGTAAGGGAATGCTGGCATTTGGGGTTTAAGCAGTTGCTGAAAACATGATCATAAACAATCCCCTTTACCTGGTGATGAAACGGCGTGGCCTTTAGGATCTCTGGAGCTTAATGTCAAACGGGAGGAAAGTGCAAGAGGTTAGTAGTAGCACGCCTTCATTAGTTTCTAGTTTCTTTCCTGGGAAGGTTGCTTTTCAGTCTGACAAAAAGAGTCAGGCTAAACTGGTGGATTCCACTCATCCCATTTTAAAATCTTCTTAGTGCTCATAGCACACCATAAATTCTGGAAAACTGTAGTTCACTGGAGGTTATGCACCCCAAGTAAAATTTAGAAAGCAACCGAGTCACTTGGAGTTTAAGTCTTACTTTCAAAGCATTCTTTGAAAATTTTATCCTCAAGCTCTCTAGGCTTTTATAAAGAAACTCATTTAAGGCAATGAAAGGCAAGCAAAAGTACTGCAAGTTAAAAAAGGACAGATTCCAATTTTAAAAAAAGAACGAGATTATACTATTAACTTAATCTGATTAGCCCAAGGAGAAGACAGGGTTTCAGAGGCTAGAAACAGGGCCCATTCATCTCTCAGCCGCTCCCAAGGCAGCTCGGGAGAATTGCAGATGAAGGCGGCCGTTACCAGAGAGCTGCTTGGTGACCAGAGGGAAACGTGTCCATGTCTCAGCAAACAAAAGAGCATATCTCAGCAAACAGCCTCTTTGGTAGCGACAAGCAGGAGTACAAGAGCTGCGGATGCCCGTAACACTTTTCCTGCTACAAATGATCTTTCCAAGCACAGGCTGAGGTGAAGTGGATGGACAACAGGAGGTCTCTGCCCAGCTCCCTGCTATACTGCCTCTGGAGTGTGAAACCATCTGGAGCTGTAAATGCAGCACCCCTCAGGAACATTTTGGGGTGGGGTCTGCAATCCTACCTCACAGAAAGTTTTAGGGATTTCAAACAAATAATTTTGTTTAAGAAAATTGTACAGGACTGAGTCTTCCATGCAATGCTCTTGCCCCTGTTTCCCTCTCTGCCCCCTTAGTAACCATCCACACATGGTCAATCATAGCAACGTTTAGGGAGGAAGAAATACATACATACCTACACGTATACATACATACATACATATATTTATGTATATATATTTGGCAAGTGGACTGGAAAAAATGAAGTGCAACAGCAGAGCCATGGTCAGATTGGAATGGACAGATCCTAAACTGGTGTAAACTGGCACGGCTGCACTGCCGCCAATGAAGCTACATTGATTGACATCAGCTGAACGACTGGCCCCAGGGATTTATTGAATGCATTGCTGCAGAAAGCTGTAGCTTGAAATGCATTTCAAAATGTTTAAATACAATTTCATTTTGTATGCTATACTTAATAGTTATCAATACTTTTCAATAGTTTTTCTTTTTGGTTTTATTGCAAAATGACAAAGTCTGAGAGGTAATTGTAGCAGACTTCTTTGAAGTCTAGTTGTAATTTATCCAAAGATTTGGAAAGCAACTTTGGAGTACGGGACAACATCTGGTAAATATGTTTGCCTCCTTATATGAAGCAAAATTAAAACCAGTCAGGGCCAGGAGAAGCTTATACTGGCATTAGAACTGTTGAGAAAGCATGCTTTTTTTTTTTTTTCCTGCTGCCCACAATATTCAAGGAGAAAATGAGAAATGCTAGTGTCTTTTTGAAGAAAAGTTGCTGCCAAGTATTTAATTGACAAGAGGCAATATTTTCTCTACATATACAAAATAACAAACAGATGTTGACTTATTTTGATCAACATCCAGATGTTGTGACCCAAGAGGTTAATATTGACCAAGGTGATGCTAGCCTTCTCATCAAACAGAAGATCAGACTGATGAGATATATGTGTATATTTATAAATAGAGAGAAAGTAATTGTGAACATGAAATACCTTTTTGAAGATTAATGCTTCTTTCTAATATTGCAAATGTGTAATCCTCATGCCAGCAGAAATTTTCTTTTCACCCTCATGAAAAAATGTCTCAGTCTCCAGTACCACCTAACAGAGAAGGTACATCTTAAGGAGATTTAATGCCTCAGAACACCCATTTCAACAAATACTTATTTCTACATAACAGAGTTTTAACAAGCAGGTGTAGATACATAGGTAATCATATTCACAGAATTAAAATATTTCAAAATTAATTTATTTATGAAATTGTCTATTTAGGAACAAGGGATTTATCCCTGTTGCTAAATAATATTCCCATAACACATAGTAGTGCAGTGTGGTTATTAAGGATCTGTTGGGGCTTCACAGTCAGTCCCCGATTTTCATTGGATTTTTTAATGTAGTCATAAAAAAAAGTAGTGCTGCAGGCGGAAACTTGGCCTATGAGGACTTGCTCTCAGAGTTTTACTGTACAAAAGAGGACTGACTCTTTATTTATGCGAGCATTTTAAAGAAGCTCGGTTTATTCTTTCTATCAATTTGATCTATTAAAAATAGCTCTTGAAAGTGTTTCGACAGGAAGTCTATAATATTGAGGACAAGATCACGAAACTTAAAGTGTAAAAATAGAAACTCTTTGTTGTGCTTTAACGAGATGATTCATCAGAATAAAATATGGTTTGGGCTACATATTTGTATCCTTACAAGTCTGAAAATCATTACTGAAAATAAAGAGTATGGGAGGGACACAGATGGTTTTGGTTTAATTGTTTTAATTGATAAGCACAAAAAAAAAGAAAAAAGAAAAAGGCTTACACAATCCTGGACGATTTTCCCCCCGCAACACCACAGCATTATGGGCACTCACAGGACTGAGCACCATACATAACTGGATACAAGTTGGTCTTTGTGAGCATGTGTTGAGCCCCAGCAACAGAAGTGAGGCCATGCAGCACCAAATAGGTGCCCTCTTTGAAGGTTTTATACAACAGGGGTTTGCTGAGCAGCTTTCGGCTATTTCTACGATTGGAATCATTGCAAAAAATATCACAAAGTTTCAGAATTACATTAAATTCCATGGTCATCAGAGGATTGAAGCAGCTAGGTTCTTTTCAAAACAATCTTTCTGAGGACCAGTGCAGGAAACTGTAGAAATATGTCCTTGTTTAACTATTTGAAAACACAGCATTACGCAGAGAACAATAAAGGGGAAAAATATGCCAAATGATGTAACAGCTGGTCCTGTACTGGGGCTTAATGCTACAGCCATAGAAGTCAACAGGAATGTTGAAATAGAAGCTATTTACAGCTGGATCAAGTCTTTATTCATCCATAAATACCAGCACATCTTACTACTATACATAAATATTACCAGAAATAGTTATTTGATCATTGCATTGGCTCCCTTGTCATTTAGCCCTAACTATTTTATTTTCCTCCCTTTTTCTCTTTTTTTTGTTTTATCTCTTCTTATATCTCTAACCTCAAGAGTACATTCCAGGCCGGTTTGGATCTGAGGACTCCTCAGGCTATGCTGCTTTTTCTGTTGATGCCACTCAGAATGAAAATTTGAACATATCAATGTTTGTTCGAACACGCAAATCTTCTGGCTTGTTACTGGCTTTGAGAAACAGTACTTACCTTTACGTAAGAGTCTACTTGGAAGGTGGAAAACTCACAATGTTAGCTCTAAATTCCATTAAGTTATTAGGGAAACACTCCATGAACGATGGAAACTTTTACTTCATAACATTAAAAATAGAACCAAATAAGATGGAATTGTTCCAGTCCTCTCAATACCTAGGTTTTATTTCTACTCCAGTACTAACCATCCAAAGCAAGGATATTCTATACATTGGAGGCCTACCAGATAAAAAAGAAACTGATAGAAATGGCAGGTATTTCAAAGGCTGCATCCAAGATGTAAGAGTGAATAACCAGCCGCTGGAATTCTTCCCCATCACCGATCCACTGAATTCTCTTATCAACCGAACTCTGATCAATGTCACCCAAGGCTGCACTGGTGACAACCTCTGCAAGGTAAGAATGACACATTTCAGAGCATTTTCACATGTTTATAATGGGGAATTTCTTTTACTTTTTAATATGTTCCCATACATTATTTGATGATTTTGACATCCTTGGAAAATATGTAAAAATGTTACAAAGAGCAGATTTTGTTGAGTTGTGCTACATATGATGAATATCAGCAGAAAAATGTATTTACATAGGGGACAATTAAAATATTTTAAGGTTGTAATACTGTTTTTCACCAATTATTGAATATACTGTGCTGTTATAGTACTGGTCTTTATCACCTCCCATCTGAAACAACCAAACAGAATTCTCCTTTTTGTCAAGCAGTCCCCAATCTTTAGAGTTGGGAGTCCACCAGCTTTTATTCATACTTAGACAACTCTCTTCTTCTTCCCCATAGTCCAACCCTTGCCACAACGGTGGTGTGTGCTATTCAATCTGGGATGACTTCACTTGCACGTGCCCCCCTAACACAGGGGGGAAGGCATGTGAGGATGTTAAGTGGTGTGAGCTTGGGCCCTGTCCTCTTGAAGCACAATGCCAGCTGGTACACCAAGGATTTGAATGTAGGTACATTTCAGTTATTCCTATCATCTTTGGAGATTAGAAACAATAGAAATTTTCATCAGCATTTCCTCAAAACTCAATATTCACTGCCTTTAAAGTTTATTCAAATATTATTTCTGTATTAAAATAATAATGATGTCAGTTGTAAGTAACATTAATGGGAAGAGGCTGCCCTACCAAACCCAGAAATTTTCAACCAGACCCCCTGACACAGAGATCGATGTTTACAGGGCCTTTACTTTTGACTGATTCAACACAATTTGTCGAGGTCATACAATAGATCTGTACATTGCCAGCGTGTGAGTGCACCCCTCATACTTCCACTGCAAAGAGACAAAAGGATATCCAGTGTTGGATTAACCTTAGGATGTTCTCTACCCTCCTGAAAAGACAAGCTACATGACACACATTGCATCATTTGATTTTGTTAAATGTGAAATATCTTTGAAGAAAGCCATCTTAATACCAGCAGTACAGTTATTCAGCTGGTATCTTCATACAAAGCACCTGCATGCCAAGCAGTCTATTTGAAAATTGATGACCATTAGCTGTCTTAAGAACATATTAGCCACCCTGTATATCTCTTTCCTTCTCCTTCCCACCCCGGAGTGGAATTTAAAAAGCAAGTAAGGATTTTGGAGTAATATTTTTTCTTTTTGCTATCAAAGAAAGCCCTAATGATGCTGTGAAGGAAGATAAATACACACAGAGTCTGATGGAAGCTGTTAGAATGGCTGACTCTTAGGAATAAGAAGGCTGGTCAACAGAAGATTTCTATCATAGACAATTTGCTGACAGACCAATATGATGCTATTTTTGTTGAGATTGTTAGAATCAGCATTGCAGCACTTGTTAAAATTTATAACTGAAATGAAAATAATTGCACCTTCTCTAATAGATGTCTTTAATGATTACATGAAATTACATTCTCTCATAAACTTTACTATTACATATTACAGTAGAATGTGAACACACAGAGACAAGTGAAAAGTATCTGAACTGTTTGCTTTTGCTAAACTCAAGGTCATTTACACTGTTACATCACCCTTAGATGCCTGTGCTGGTTTACATGGCAATACGAGGAAGTTTCCCTAAAAGATATTTAAAAAATCCTGCACTACAGAGCTGTATTTTTAACTAGTTGTTTTCTTAGCTACAGCACAGACTTCTTGCTGTTCAGCACAAGGTAATGAAAAAAAGGAATTTTACTGGCCAGTGAGTTCTCTGCCAGCCTAGTGTCTTATGCTCTGGATACCATTTCAAGCTAAGGCAGAAAAAGAGCTGTTTTCTGGGGCCCGTGGCTATAGTTCCTCCTAGATGGCTATGATTAGCAAGCCTGTTAGGAAAACATGCACTCCAAAAAAAAAGAGAAAAAGCCGATACAGGAAGCTGATGTGGGGAACATTAAGTAACAGCAAAACTGTATGCCCAGTGTCACAACTGAGAGTAAAAGCACATTCAGATGGCTTGCTGTGCTCAGGACTTAATAAGAGTTCTACAGATGTATTTTAGCTTTATGAGCTTAAAAAGCTCAACTTTGCAAGACATTTTAAAAACAGAAATAATTTTGAAAAGCTCTGACTTTCATTTTTAGTATGGTTTCCTCTGAGGAATTTTTTCCTATGAGAAAGATGCCACATTTGATGCGCCGGGCAGTGTAGTTACACCTCTGCTGCCTTAGTATCAGGCTATGCAGTCAACAATTTCATGCTGGGACTCCCAGGGGTTCCTTTCATCAAGATTCACTGAGCCCAAAGATAGTTCAGGAACCCACCTTATCTCAGTGCTAGGATCTTGCGAAGCTAAATTTGTCTGAAGTACAGACAGAAGACATTCCTTCCTGTCCCTCCTCCCTGTCTATAATCCTCATAAATCTCAGAATGTGCAATTTACAGCCCAGCAAGTTAGTGCATTTTATTTGAAACAATGCTAATGAAATATGTCAAATACTTTTGTGAAGATGTCCATAAAACTGCTCCAATGCTGCCCATCAATTTTCACTCAGAGCAGTACAAAATGAGTACTCCGCTGCCCTCCCAGTCCCACTAGCACAGGCTCGGTGCCATCAGTTGGGCTGTGGCAGTGCGCATGCGGCAGGAGAAGCTGGCTTTAAATGTAACAGGCATGACCCTTCTTATGTTGATTTTGAAGGGGCTTCTTGCCAGCTGACTTTAATTCAATTAACCCTTTTTGCATCAGTGAGAGTAAATTGGGATCCAATCAAATATTTTGTAAAACCTGTTTAGTGCTTTACCTAACAAAAAAGGAATTGAGAATAGAGGTTCACCCCATCCAGATCTTTCATGGGCAATACCTAGCTGCCCGTACTTAGGGAACAAATATAAAATGACAAATATATATCTGCTTTTGAAATAGCTTCTCAGCCTCAGGTTTGAGTTGTATACAATTATGATCACCTCCTTCTCTTTGTCTAAAGAGGAAAAGGAGAGATAACACTAATATAGAATTGTATCTTTAGAATGATAACTTCAGATGATGCAAAGCAGGACACTTTTCATGTTGATATAGCTGGTGCTGGCACTGCCCTGTGATTTCTGTAGCCATAAGGGGCAGGCAAGAATAACTGACACACTGGTGGAATTTGTTTTTCAGCAAACCCAAAAGGACTTACATGACAGGGAGCATGGGGCACTGAAGAGATATTGTTCCACGTGTATTGGTTTAAACTTGGCCTGGTTTCTCAATTATTATCTTTGCACAGGTCTTGCTAATGCAGTGTTTAGTGGCCGAAGCAGTGCGATATTTTACAGAAGCAATGGAAAAATCAGCAGAGACCTCACCAATATCATGTTTGGCTTTCGAACTAGGGACTCTGATGTGATACTGCTGTACGCGGAGAAGGAGCCAGAGTTTGTTACCATCAGTATTCACAATTCCAAATTACTCTTTCAATTGCAAAGTGGCAACAGCTTTTACAAGCTGACCCTTACTAGTTCACTGCCTGTGAGTGATGGGAAATGGCACCAAGTGATGGTCTCTATGGTAGAGCCCCTGTCCCAGTTCTCTAGATGGCACGTTGATATAGATAACAAGAAAGACACTGCAACTAGTACAACTGCTGCAGGAAGCCTCAACTTTTTAAGAGAAGAGACAGACATCTATGTGGCTGACAAGGCTTTTGACAGTCTGGATGGCCTGAGAGGATGTATGAGCACCATAGAAATCAGCGGCATTTATCTCTCATACTTCGAAAATGCTGACATCCCTACTAAAAAACCTCAAGAGGAGCAATTTCTCAAAATATCTGCAAACCCTGCTCTGACTGGCTGTTTGCGGGTTGATGTCTGCGGCTCAGATCCCTGTATGCATGAGGGGATATGTGAAGACTTCTATACTTCTTACCATTGCATATGTCCCAAAGGATGGGCGGGCACCCACTGCGAAGTCAACATCGATGAATGCTCTTCAAACCCCTGCGTTCATGGAAACTGCACTGACGGGATCACCTCTTACAAGTGCAGTTGTGAACCTGGTTACACAGGGCTAAATTGTGAAGAGGACATAGACAACTGCCGTGGCCACCAGTGTGCAAATGGGGCCACTTGTGTTGATGGGATCAATGGATATTCTTGCCTGTGTGCTGGTAACTTCACCGGAAAATTTTGCAGGTACTATAAACAAGGCAGATCAGTATGATTTTGTCAGGTATTTTTCTGAAGGGTTATTACATCACTGATGTCTCCATTTTAAACACAGATGTTATGCATCTACATATATATTAATCATGGCTTCAGAATTAATGTATAAAGAGTCTGCAGTACAGAAAGCTATACAGATCAATTAGATGTGGACCAAGGCAGTGAAGAGCTGGCAGCTCAGGAAGAGACAGGTGAGGCAAAGAGACAGGGAACAAGGCGCAGCTCTGATGCCCAAGCTCTGCTGCCAGCCTGGGTCCTATGAGGTCTCTGGTGACAGGATTACAAGTTCACCAGAGCTCGGAGATAGATGTGTTACATCTTTTTTAGGAAAAAAAAAAGATTTAAAGGGTTTTGAATCTCTAAAACTATGCTTTATTAGAATAATAGAGCTCTAGAACTATAAGTAGAGAAATTCAGAGTTGGTGGGTAAGCAAAAATAACAGTATGAAGGCTTGTAAAGAAGCTTTTCTCCCTACCCACAGCATCTTTTCTAGGTGGGTCTTTTCCTCCAGGCTTGCTCTCTCAGCCCAGCAGTCCTGGTGGCTGCAGACATCACAGAGCCTGCTCTTTCCATCATTTCTGAGACTCCTCACATGCCTGTTTCCTATTCTTCTCAGACACTCCTCTTTAAAGGCTGCAGGCTCTTCCCTGGCCTCTCTCTCCTTTAACTGAGCTTCTCTGCACATGATAAACTTCTCCCTTCTGAGCATGTCCTGTTGCTCTTGGAGAAAACAAAATCCTCTTCCTTCCTCCAGAGGACTCCAACAAACCCAGTCTGCTGCAGCCCAAAGGATGCAAACAGACAATTGTCTTCATGCTCTCCAACCACAGTTCTTTCAGGCTAAAATTACATAACTGTCAGGTTTTGTTGAGTTTTTGTGAGTAGTGAGGACATCTTCAGATTTGAAGATGCCTTATATTGGCCCAGTATGGTCTGTCTTGTACGCTAAGTCTCTCTTTTGAACTCCTCTACTAAGCTGTCCAGGTATCACATAGAGGCAAGCCAGTAATATCGGTAGAATGTTGTCCCTTTTTGTTTGTTTACTTGTTTTTGCTAAAAAATTAATCATTAACTTGTGAGTAAATACTTGGAAAAGGAAAACTAAATTCAGCAAAATAAAAGAAGTTAAGCAAGACATGTTTTGTGAATCTTAAACCCCAGTTCCTGCTGTCTTTCCTTTGGACCATAGCCCAGTCAGTAACAGCATTGCTCCCCAGTTCAGCTGCTGCCTACCACTAACTGTGAGCACCCCAAGTACCACAGGCACCAGGCGTGTCAATGCACACAGATCTGGGGTTTCCCTTCCAAAGAGCAAACCAAGAAGGCACTAAGCATGTGCAGCCCCGAAACTGTGCGTTTATTTACAGGTAAAATGTAATGCCTTTCCCATTGATACTGAAGAGTGCTTGACAGCAAGAGCCCTGCTCCCTCTATTTGGAGACAAACAGTACTAGATTCTGCATTCAGATAACAAATTTGCATAGTAGATCTAAGTATTTTCCACTAAAGCAGTGGACTAGAGTCAAAAGAAAATAGAGCACGAGACATCCAGAAACAAGGAGGGTGCAAATAACTGCCATTGCCTTCTTATTGATCTAGATACAGAAGATTACCATATACAGTTTGTGGGAATGAAGAGAGAAACCTCACATGTTTCAACTATGGCAACTGCACCGATCTCAGCGGCGAGTTGACGTGTGTGTGCCTGCCGGGATTTGCTGGAGAACGGTGAGATGCCTTGACCAGCAGATCTGTGTGGAGCAATTCTTCCAAAAGCTGTTCCAGAAAGGCCCAGAGGGTGGTGATGGCCACAGGGGTTTTGCCCTCCTGCAGAAACACAGACAAAGCAGTTGTTTAAGTTCAGCTGTTCCTTGCTTGAGTGACTTTGAGACTTTTGGGATAGTGAGAAAGGAAACACTGTACATGCTCTTAGTGAAATTAGCATTACATCAGAGTATAATATCCAAAAGTTCAACAGGCCCAAGTTATGCTGGCTCTGCAAACACAACGACGTTTTCAACAAAAGGTTTTCATTCTCTCAAAAACTTATTAACCCACTGATTTTGTGGAAACAGTACAGTAAGCTATAAAAGACAGATGAAATGAAAATTTCTACCCACGCAGTACACAGTGTAGTTGGCAGACACATCTGCATTGTACCGTTTGACTCAACCAGAAGGTTTGTGTACAACCCCACAATATTAAAAAAAAGGTGAAAAAATTACATAAAATAAAAGATAAAAAGTAAAAGCACATTGTTAGACACTTCTTTGGTGTATCTATTTCTTGGGACTTCAAGGTAGAAGGAAAGTACTTTTTCCTTCTTCTTTCCCCTGCCAGGCAACTTGCTAACTACAGCTTTGGGAATGAGCCTTCCTTACATCCATCCCACTGGCTGGCAATAATCCCTATTTTATGGTTCCCATGATTCTCGTATTGAATGGCAGCCTCGTACCAAGTGTGCTGCACTTTAACTATCACAGCAAGGCATGCTGCTCCAATGTCTGAAATGGACTATTTGTCCTCTTTTCCTCCAGGCTGCCAAACCATAAACCAGTAGTACTGCTGTGCTTGCAGCTTCCAGTATAGCAAATGAGAACATTTCACTTCTTTTTTATCCTGAATAAATTCAAATATATCAGTTAGTAAGAAAATTAAAACCAAAACCTTTTTTATGTTTATGTATTACATTGATAAAGTATGCATTTTCCTTTAAGACAGTATTTCATCCCTCCGAAAGACACTGATGCACAGTCTAGAGAAAATAGTATCTTTCTTTGTCAGTCAATTGACTTGGGATCACAAAAAAAGCCTAGTGAACTCAATAATAAGTGGAAAAGGAAACCTGAAAAGATTACTTTTCTTAAAAGGAGATACAGCTGTCTCCTGAAATTGAATTTTTCATTCAACTGAGGCTGGGATTTTCAAAATTACCTAAGGGAGTTAGGTTTTCAGGTGTTCCTGAAACTCAGTTGGATTCAGGTGCCTAATTCCCTGGAAGATTTGCGGGGTTGGTGGGGTTTTTTATTTGCATAGGTAAGTTCATAGCTATACAATTTATATACATTTGATAAATACTTTAATTTAGCTTTTTGAAGTATATGAATATAATTTACCATTGAAGGAAACTGTTGAAATATTTTTAGAGATAAAGAAAATCAGATAAAAGAGTTTAATATAAAGAATTGCTCTTCTCTGATGGAACACTAAAAATTTATTGCATGGTTGTGAACATGATTGAACAAAGCAATTCCTATAATTCAGAGGGAGTTTCTCAAATTCTTCTCCAAGATAAACCTGCTTTTTCATCTAGAACAATTAGGACTAACTGTTAGTGTTATCTGAAAAAAAAGACCAGAGAATTAAATTGTCAGAGCAGAAAATCAACAGATCATTACTAGTTTTCAGCCAGTCTCACACACTGCTCGTTAAGGTTCAATTGGTTGCCTTGAGAAATTATGAGAGCTCAGATTTCCTTTATCATCAGAATTAGCTCAAAAACATTTAACAATAAGTATTTATGCTTGTAAAGCCCTGTTCTGCACCATTCTTACCGTTCTCAGGGCCCATCTCAGAGAGACCAGATAGGAGCTTCTGCTGGGATCTACTGGCATTCTGAATTGAGAGAGAAAAAAAAAACAAAAACAGGTGAATATTCCCAGGAGCACTCAGCTGGGAAGACATGCATTTGTTTGACTTACATCCACACTACTGAGAAGGAAAAGGTACCCTCATCTCCCCGTAACAAAGAAAACGGATAAGCAGCTGTCGGCAGGACTTGCGCCAGATCAGCCTCTGAAATCATACACAAACTTTCATTTAGTATTGCTAAGCACCACTAACCACAAAATCCTTTACAGAGGTGAAATTTCTGGCTTAACTATCTGTGCTTGAAAATAACACAGGAAGTTCAGGATCTGAGCATGGCTAATCAGGTACTTGATAAAATCCTAAACATGTGCGGAAATATACCACAGATTTCAAATACAGCATCCTCCTCTCCCTTCCCCCAAAAGCTTCTGAATTTAAAACGTGACTGTTGGATGCATTTGATTTGTGATTTCAGATGCTCACTATTTGCAGTCTTTCCTCTAGGTGTGAAAAGGACATTGATGAGTGCAGCTCCGACCCATGTCTGAACGGAGGCCTCTGCCAGAACCTACTCAACAAGTTCCACTGCCTCTGCGATGTGAACTATGCTGGAGACCGCTGTGAGATAGATGTAAGCGACCTCTCCTTTTTTGTCTCTTTACTGTTGTGGCAGAATCTCTTTCAGCTTCTCTCCTATCTTATTCTACGAATGGATGATGATCCAGCAGTCGAGTGGGGTGAACAGGAAGACAATTAAGCAGTCTTTAAACTTTTGTATTTTAATGCAGCAGAGGATGCCTTGACCAAACAGCTTAGCACAGCAGTATAAACATCAGAGTTGTAAAACTGGTTTCATATTTCTTTGAATGATTATCCATTAATCGCTTTGGGTCTGGTTTAGTTCTTTCACTTAAGTTTCAAACAAATGCTAGCAGATCTTAAAAGGTGTTTAATCCCACCTCCACCAGAGCATTTCACCACAAAGACACTGCCAGTGGACCACACCAACAGGCAATACATATTAACAAGAACTATAAGTTTACTGATGGTGGCATTCAAACCCTACTGCAATGAGTGGCAAAGACCTGCTGCCTTCAGTAAGGCTGACTTTAGCATTAAATCTTACAGATGGTCACTATCTTTGCATCACATACCATGTTCATCGCTGTTTCTTTGGTAGTTAGGTCTCACATCTTTGAAATTGTGTAGGATATTAGTGGATAATGAGGTAATTGTTTGGATTATCAATTGGCAGCATGCTGAGGACACTCTCATGTCCATTTGAATTAGTGACAATCCTGCACTGATATCACTAATCCTGAACCTCTGCTCCAGTAGCCTGTACACCTCCAATATGTTATACCGAGGTATAATACAGTAATCTTAATCTTCATTGTGATTCCTCTTTCAAGAAAGGCTAAGTACATCAGAGTTTAAAATTATAGATTTATTGATATTACAAATATTTCTACACTTTAAGTAAATCTGTGTTACCATCAATAGATACGAGTGTCATCAGACAAAAATATGGGATTTTTCCATTTTAGGAAGTAATCAAGGTAATTCAGCTGATTGGCTGTCCATGGATTCTTTAAAGAACGAAAATAAGAGGCCTAAAAATTATGAATACCAGGAGATGTAGCAAAAAATATTACAGCAAAATATCTGTGTAGTTGCATTTTAGAGTATAGACACAACTGAAGTACATTGTCAAATAAAAACCAGTAGTGAAAAGTTAGTTTTTGTTTTTCTGAACAATTCTTTAAGGCAAAAATCATTTATGAATGATGCAACCATTTCTTTGGGCATTCATGATCATACTTGTATAGATTCTGGACTCTTAGTAATTCAAGTAGTATCCCTGAGTGATGATTCAGAAGAACAAGTATGTATAAGGGGGTGTTTTATTATTAAGTGATAGGGCATGTAGCAGTTACAAGAATGACTAACTAACACCATAAAATGAGGTTTTATGACTCCAGAGAGAACAGCTGATCTTTTGCAGAAGTCCTTCAGCCCACCTATATTAGCTTCTCCCACTTCAAACCTGACGCTGTTTCTTCAGTCCTACCCAACTTGCTGTGGATTGGACTTGGGATATTGATGGAGAGCAAATCCCGCCTTTATTCTACAGTTGCATTAAGGCACCTTAAAATGTGTAGAAGTGAGATGTTAAGGTTCCCATTTTGCCATGGTAGAATATAGCAGCAGTCACTGCCTGAGCATCAAGCCTATATTTTTTTATTTCCCAACTTTCATAAGTGTCCTAAAGTCTGTTATTTTTCTGAATACTATTCAGCACATAATTGCAGCAACACTTGCATTATTAAAAAGTCTACTTCTGTTTGGGGAGGGGGGGCGAGGAGGGGAACGACACACAGGAACAAACACATTTTTTGCATATTTGTGGAAAAAAACCCATGGTCCATCCCTGTGATATGTCACATATTCCCAGCTGAAGCACCTGCCTTAGTATGAAAACTTAAGCACAATATATTTATTTAGAATAATTGTATTACACAAGGATAACTTCTTTGCTGTCTTCATTATACCAGAAAAGTGACTGGAGTAATTTTCTTGTTAATATCTTATTTTTAAAAAAATAAAATTAAAAAAATCATTCACTAAAAGATCCTTTCTTCTTTGTAAGCGATCAGTAAACACAAGATGGGAATGCATGTTCCAGCACTGGGGATGAAATGAATGTAGCAGTATCAGAAACAAAACTGTATATTCTCTCAGATGTAGCGCTTAATTATCTTGCTGGGAATCACATGTAATATTGTGAAATATATGAAACAGTCAAAGACAACAAACCAAAACCAAACTGCACTTTCAATTTTTTTTTTCAATGAAAATACAGTTTTGGAGCATTGCTTTTTACTCCAGAAAAAGTAATGTGATTGAACCTACCACATCAGAGGAAAAGATTTTTTTTTTTTAAATGAAATCAAAAATTCTGTGTGAAATGTTTGCATTTTGTTTTAAAATACCAAAGAAAGACAAAACAAAATTAAAACATTCAACTTGTTTTGAGGTAAAATGTCAATTTTCTTTCATATGGACAAATTTAAAATAATAAACAACATATTATGCTGAAAACTTTATTCCAAAATGTAGCTTTCATTTCATCGTAGCTAAAAATGTTACTTGGTTCAATATTGTTAAAATTAAAAAAGAAATGTTTAAACACAAATAACTTGAAATTAAAACTAGCGTATCATTTCAATACGCTAACCAAAAGCAAAGAAATCAGAAATTTTGAAAACTCGAATGAAAAACTGATGCTACTAACCAAAGCTGTTCAAACCACTTTAAAAAAAAAAAATTAAGAAAATTACAATAAAGTTTGGGGTATTTATTCTCACTGGGTTTAGTTCAGTTCCTACATAAGTAAATGAAACTGTTATGTACTTTATAGAATATACCCTACAGGGTGCACTACAATAAGGAAACATTTCATCCTGGTGTTAATGTTGAAGAAAGCTCGAAAACAATACATGCAATAACAGTATGCCTGACATACTGTAGCTATATGCATAATACGAAAAACAAAGAATAAATCTGTACAGAGATTCCAAAACTCTTTCTCTTCATTACTGGAAACTTGTACATACAATATTAAATACAGGTTTTAGATGGATTTACAGCAACATGCAAGTTATTTATCCAGAATATATTAGCAGAGCATCAGTTCACTCCTTCTTTCACTGAATTCACATCTGTAATTGAATTCTTTCCTTCCTCTAATGCCTTGTCATCATGAAACATCCCCTGACTTCAGAAATGCTGCTCCTTTCCTCTTTGTACTTCTGTTTTCTCAACTCCATTGTGCATGTGTGCATAACTTTCCTACCTTTATACACAAAATAAACCTTCTGCCTTTGTCTCTTTATGTCTGCTCCTCATTTGCTGCTAATGACTCCATTCATTTGCTTTAAGTGTGCCACGTTTTCTGAACGTTTGCACTTTACAGATACACCACACAAAAACTAAGGTCGCATCTTCCCTATGCCTTCTCCAGGCCCCTTGAGTCACTTCCGCTGCGGTACCACGTTACCCATCAGGGGCGATTACCTTGGCTGGGGAGCTCTTACAGAGCACAGCTAAACAAACAGTGAACAACTCGGAGAGGGAGGGATTTTATCCACATGGCTTGAAGTGACTCTTATTACTTGGTTCCTCCTTATATATTGTCAATACTTAGAAAACTGTTGAGTGTTACGAGGTCTCCGTTAACATTGTGATGGGTTATCCCTTTCCACTGAGCTATCGGAGCCCGTAGGCCGTACCTGTCCCACGCACAGGTCTTCCAACACACCCAGTGGAGAACAGACTTGATATTCCTAGTTTAATAGGTTAAAAAATAAAGAAACAAATGTCAGATTAATTAAAATAACTTCTTCAAAGATACATTTATATTTTTAAAAGAAATGCAGTCGTAGGACATTTAAAGAGAAACAGCTATAGAAGCAAACATGAAAAAACAGCTAAATGAATAATGACACTAGGCACTAATTTTTTGTAAATACATCCAATTGCTAAGATTTTTTTGAACTTTAGGGGTTGAAAAGGCCTTTATTCATGTTTAAGATTGAGATATAACAGCAAGATCTTCATACATCTCCAATGCTGCAATTTTATTGCAAATTTTTTGACATTTAAATTTTTATGTAGAACACAGACTCACAGATGAGTTCATGCTTTTGTCTGAATCTCAGCATTTATTTAAAAAAAAATTAAAAAAAATAGTTCGTATAATTTTAGGTGTTGAGAAGAGCTTGGAAAACAACCATCTCAAGATGCTCAGAATTGGAGGAGGGATACCAGACATGCAAATAAAAGAGATCAAACAAGCAAGGTCATGATTTTTGGAGGCATGGCTTGTGATGCTCAATACTGATATTATTTGTAATGGATCCCTCTATGTTTTCATACTGAGATTCAAATTGTTTTTCAGATGCCAGTGACTGTCATTCGGAAATATGGGTAATGAGAAGTACCGGTGTTCATGCTTGAGGAAGAAGTAAGATTTCTGAAAAGAAGGGAAAGACAGCAGTGATAGAGGCACTAGAATGATGAGCACAGGGATTTGCATCAGCTGTGGGATGAGGGGAAGGGTATACTTTAACATGTTTGGCAAACCCATGAGCCCTATTTCACTGGGGAAGTACACACAGGAATGACAGAGTTGCCTTACTGACAATAGGTCCTACTTCTGACCCTTAAAAACCAGGCTCTGACTGACTGTCCCCTCTCTAGGAGCTCTAATACTGTTTGGACTCTGCCAGCAGTATCCTATCACAATTTTAACTACAAAGAGCCCATGTGTTTGTGTCTTGGAAAATATCCTTGATGTTGTATGCTTACTTGAATTCTCTTGCTCCCACAACATTTAATTTTTAAGAAACTAGATCCCGTACTCAATTTACTCAGTGCATGTGACTACAATATGTTGGTGAAACTAAAAATAGGGAAAAATCTGCTTCGAACTGGCAGTGATGAAATCAGGTTTCATTCTTTCATTGCAAATCTTTTTCCTGGCCTGATACTGAAAAGTTCAGCCAAGGGAGCACTTCACTTGTATCTATTAACTTTTAGGGCTGGAATTTACCTTTTATATCTTGAGTT